TATCCTTCATTCTGATAATGTGATGTTTCATGTTTATTGATATGTATATGTTGAACCATCCTTGCATCCCAGGAATCAATCCCACTTGATCATGTTCTACAATTCTTTTAATGTGCTGTTGATTTGATTTACTAATCTTTTGTTGAGAATTTGCATCTGTATCTTTTCTGGATATTGGTCTGTAGTTTTCTCTTCTATAGTGTCCTTATTTGGTTTTTGTATCAGGGTAAAACTGGACTTAAAAGGAGCCCAAGAGTGTTCCTTCCACTTTAATTTTTGGAAGAGTTTGAATAGGATAGGCATCCATTTTTTTTCTTTATATATTCAGTGAAATTCACCAGCAAAACCATCTGGATCTGAGTTTTTCTCTGTTGGAAGATTTTTGATTAGTGATTCTGTCTCCTTACTTGTTATTAGTCTGTTCAAATTTTCTCTTCATGACTTGGTCTTGGCAGGTTGTATGTTTATAGAAACTTATTCATTTTCTTTAAGTTATTTAATTTGTTGTCACGTATTTGTTTACAATAGTCTCTTTGTTTGCATTTCTGTGGTATCAATTTTAATGTCTCTTTCATTTCTGATTTTATTCATTTGACTCTTCTCTTTTTCGTAGTCTAGTTAGAGTTTTGTCAATATTGTTTATCTTTCAAAAAACCAGCCCTTAATTTTGTTGGTTATTTCTAATGTTTTTTATTTATATTTTATTGATTTTTGTTCTGATCTTTGTTGTTCCCTTTCATGTGCTAATTTTGAACTTAGTTCTTTTTTTCCAGTTCCTTGAAGTGTAATGTGTTATTTGAGATCTTTTTTTCTTCATGTAGGCATTTGTTGCTATTAACTTCCTTTTCTTAGTACTTTTTTGCTGCCTCTCCTAAGTTTTTGTATTCTGTGTTTCCATTTTCATTTGTTTCAAGATATATTTTTATTTCCCCTTTGATGTGTTCTTTGACCCATTAGTTGTTGGAGTGTGTTGTTTAATTTTTACATATTTGTGAAGTTTCTACCTGTTCTCCTGTAACTGGTTTCTAGTTTCATCCCACTGTGGTCAGAAAAGATACTTGTTATGATTTTAGTCTTCCTCAACTTGCTAAGACTTGTTTGTGACACATCAAATGTTTCATTGTGTATGATATTCTGTATATACTTGGAAGAATATGTATTCTGATGATTTTTGATAGAATATTATTTAAATATCTGTTAGGTGCATGTGAGCTAAAGTATAGTTCAAAATCAGTGTGTTAATTTATGATTTTCTGTCTCCATGATCTATTCATGGTTAAAAGTAGGGTTAAAGTCTCCTATTATTGTACTGTTGCCTATTTCTCCCTTCTGATTTATTGGTATTTGCCTATTATTTAGATGCTGCAATATTGGATGCATATATATGTATTATTGTTATATTTTCTTAATGAATTGACCACTTTATTATTTTCTTTTTTAAAAGATTTTATTTATTTATTTTTAGAGAGAGGGGGAGGAAGGGTGAAAGAGAGGGAGAGAAACTTTGATGCAAGAGAGAAACATGTATCAGTTGCCTCTCATACACACCCTAACCAGGGACTGAATCTGCAACATAGGCACATGCCCTGAGCAGGAATCAAACAGGCATCCTTTTAGTTTGCAGGATGATGACCCAACCAACTGAGCCACACTGTTCAGGGCCACTTTATCATTTTCTAATGACCTTTTTTTTGTTGCTTGTTAATGTTTTTTGTCTTAGTCTATATTGTCTGATATAGGTATAACTACCAGTGCTCTTATTTATTTTCTACTTGCATAGGATATCTTTTACCATCCCTTTGGTTTGTGCCTGTGCATATACTTTAAGCTAAAGTGAGTATCTTGTAGACAGCATATAGCTGGATCTTCTTTTTTATCCATTAATCCACTTTATATCTTTTGATTAGAAAATCTAATCAGTTTACATTTTGAGTAATTATTAAATTAAAATAACACTCCTGCCATTTTATTCACTGTTTTCTGGCTGTTTTATAGGTCCCTTAAAGTGTTGCATTGATGTAACAGTCTCATTCTCCAGTTTTTACTAACTACTTTCAGGAAAGAAGTAACTTTCATCAGCTCTGCTAAGGATTCTGAGGTTTTCTCAGAGCATTTATGGCTATACCCATTCCACTCTTCTAGCTCTCTCTCGTGGCAGAATTATTAAGATTGTACGCCTTCTCTTGACCCTGCAACACACTATATAGAATGCTTGCTAAGAACCTTTCTTTTGTTTTCCCAAAGGCAGTCCTAAAGCTCATGTCTGTGATCTCTCCCTGGTCTATAGATTCAGGCTGGCTCTCTGCACATGCTCACTAGTTATCTGCCAAAGTTCACTCCACTACCACCAGAAGCATGAATAGGGAGTCAGTTACAGGGTCCAGGTGTGTGTGGGTGAGGCCTGCAAATCTTTGAGGTGCCTGTGAGCATTTGGGAGAATCTATAGACAAAGCATTCCCAGAAGCCCATGGACAGGCTTCTTGATGGAGTCTCCATTATAGTTAGTAGGATATGTGTCCCTTTAATCCTCAATGAAAGTCTCCAAGACTTTTTCTTCCCCCATTATTAAGCTGAGAATTCAGCCCTTTGGATGGGACAAGGGAGAAATTGGCCTATTTCTCACTGTCCTGCACAGTTAGGGAGCCAGATGGTCAGTTGCTATGAGATCATGGGTCTAGAGGATCTCTCATGTCCCTAATCTATGCCACACTGATAGAGAGGTGATGTGAGTCAAGTCAAACTGTTTCTCTTACTATTTCTGATGAGTCAAAACACAGTTTTTACTCTAGTGGTGAACTAGAACTTTTCTTCTGTAGACCTGTCATTCATGGGTGATTGTCTGAGACAGTTTTTTTCCAGTAGCTTCTGGACCATGGCCAAGAGGGACTAGAGTTGGTTAATGACCTCCTGTAGGATCCAGAGCTGGGACTAAGGTCTGTATACCTATTATCCAATACATGATTGGGCAAAACTTTTTCTGAGCCCCTTGGTATATGGTACTGGATCCCACAGCTCCCACAAAGGCACTTTTGTCCATGGATGGATGCCAAATTGTTGGTGTGGGAGAGGGGAAGACTAATAAAGGATATCTTATTCAGCCATAGTTGCCTTTGGTTTCTTAAACCTGTTTCTTTCAAAGACCGTAATCTTCAGCAGAAAAGGGTTCCAAAGGATGATTTACTGTTAGTCCACAGCCTACTCCAAACCATTCACTAGTGTTAGTGAATGTTTATGTTCATAGTATCCTTTTAGGACCTAGAAATAAACTCTTAGAAACAATGATTGTGAATTAGCTCCTGATTTCTTTATTTATTTCTTTAATCCTCACCTAAGCGTATGTTTATTGATTTTTTAGAGAGATGAGAAGGGAGAGAGACAGAAGGAGAACTATTGATGTGAGAGACAAACATTGATTGGTTACCTCTTGTACAAGCCCCAACTGGTAATCAAACCCTCAACTCAGACATGTGCCTCCACTACAAACTGAACTTGCAAACCTTTGGTTCATTGGATGATGTTCCAAACAACTGAGCCACCTGGCCAAGGCTCTTGGTGCTTTCTTTTTATCTTACCCATCACTCATAGAAATTCCTAAAAGGGCAGGAAATATGGACAGCCTCCTTTGTTCTAGTGCTGTTAAAGATTTTTTGGTTATATTTATATTTCTTTGACTATTTCAGTTTTTAACTAGGAAAAATACACATTTCTCATATTTAATTCATATCACTTTCAAGAAATTTTCACCAGCATCTCATTTCTGAAACTTATTCAAAGCTCTTTCTTAATAATCTTCTCTTAGTTCTACTTATAATTTTAGTTCAGAGCATGAGAAAAACTTTATGAATTTTTTTCTTTGGTGGTATTTGTGTGATTCTGTCTGTATCTTTCTTTTTTCAATGTATGTGAACTCTGAGCAATCATAGCCTATTTTCATGGCTTCAGGCACCTAGTATAAGCTAATGAACATTCCTCATTTCATTCTAGGTTTCTCCTGATCTAAAGAACAATATGTTCAACAATATGTCAATGTGTACCTCTAGTTGTGATACTGAACAGGACCAGAACCACTTAGTTTCTTGTCTCCTTAAATAAAATAATTTATTTCAGGGATGCCAATAATGAAAGTAAGATTTATTTCAGCTCTGCAGGAGGCAGAAACTCTGCATGTCAGAACCAGAGAGTAATGCCAAGGTGAGAGAAAAAGAGGTTTTATAGGCTTGCTGGATTCTGCTGGGTTTTGAGTTTCTATTAGCCTATAGGGTCTAACAAAAAGTTCTTTGTCTTTAATGACACCCAGTGATATTGATAGCTTAATTTCAGCCAATTTTTGCTCAGCAGGTGTTCTGTTCTGTTTTCTTTCTCCATGGAAATGTTGAACACAGGATGCTTGCAATTTCATATCCTCCTCTCTTTGCCCTGGGTTCTATGACTAGAATTTAGCAGAGAGATTATTATTCTTACATTTTCCCTTCCTGGCCCTAGGTTTAGGTTTTATGCATACCTTATTAATGTTCCACTGTGCCTGACAAGGTGTTTGTCATGGCCTCTAAGGTAGTTGTCAAGGCCTTCTATTCTATTTCAGTTGGATGTTCTACCATAACACAAATTTTGCATATCCTTCTCTCCCTGCTTCTGTTTCATCCAGATCCTGACTTCATATTTTTCCTGCCTCATTGAATCACAGACATCTGGAGAATCCTCAAACCAATTAAGTTGAATAAAGTTTTATATTTGCCCATCTTCCACACTCAATATAAATTGGTGCCTGAGACCTCTTTAACCCATGGTGGTTATTAAAGATACATGCTTGCTAATTCAGTGAATGAACATAACCTGACAAGATATTGCTAATGAAATGTTTTTTTTTTTAGAAATATTTTTAAAACAGGTAAATTTTTATACCTCTTACCTGTGCATACCATGAGAACCCAGTTCAGTATGTTTTTTCCACATCATCTAAGATGGATGAATTCAAATTGAGTAGAAGTGTGTTGTTACAGGGAACAGTGACATTCAAAGATGTGGCTATTGACTTCACCCAGGAAGAGTGGCAGCAATTGGATTCTTCTCAAAGGAACCTATACTGGAATGTGATGCTAGAAAACTATAACAACTTAATCACAGTGGGTAAGGGTAGTTTATTGTATAACCCAAATTCTTGGAGTAAAGTTGCTTTTTCCTCCTAGTTTTCTGAGGTGTAGGAACCTTCAAGTGTTAAACTGAATTTAGCCTTTAGATGCCTTTATTCATGTGAATGTGCATGCTGCAGCTTTCAGAACAAAAGGTCCTTTCTGGTTATGACTCTGGGAGGGGGCAGCATCTCCAGAAACCACACTTTTCTTGTCCTTCAGAAAACCTCGTTTCCCTGGGAGAGCCTAAATTCTTGAATAATTCTTTGTTCTAGTATTTATGCCTAAATCATATGTCATTTCCCTTTGACAGGCTGTCCATTCACCAAACCTTATGTGATTTTTAAGTTGGAGCAAGAAGAAGAACCGTGGGTTGTGGAGGAGGAAGAAGTGTTAAGGAGACATTGTCCAGGTTAGTGGGAGGGAACCAGATAGGTGAGAAGGAGCCAGGACCTTTTAATAATTAATATGTAAATAGTTGATTCCTCTAAAATGTTCTTCAAAGATATTTTCCTAAAGACTAGACTTTTATAGTGACAATTGGTTTGAATTTTTTAAAAACCTAAGGTATCACTTCTAGGTAAGATTCTTAACTTCTTTCCTCAGAAGTTATTTTCAAGAAACTTAAAAGGCCAGTTAGACTTTTTACTTGGGTGTTAGATATCAATATTTCATAACTCATTTCCAGCTTTAATAATCATTCTGTTTTTGACATCTCCAGTGTCTCTGCCCACCTTTTTATATAAGATCCTTTCTTTTTGTGTTCATATATTCATGGAATTACAGTTGTTCAAATAAACCTGTTAACATTTATAGTCCTTTATTTTCTCATTTCTTGTTCCTTCCATAGTAAATGCCTTAACATCATATTTTGTACCCATAATCATACCCACTGTATTGTTAGCTTTTGCTCTCATACTTCAATAATGGCTACATTTTACTTCAAGAAAAGTCTTAAAGATAGTGATACTTTTCAGTTTGCTCACATTATCCACTACATTTGTCTTGTATACGTATGCTCATATTTCTGTGTGTATATGTGTGATGTGTGCATACACATAGAAAATCTGTCTGGAAAAAGTCCAACCATTGTTAATATAATGAGAATGGTTTACACAACATCACTGTAACCTGGCAGCCAAAGAGAGAGTACTGGAATACACATGCATGAACAGTGACAACTCCACTGTACTAGTCAGTGGGGGTGGTAGACGCTGTTCAGTGAGCATGTTTACTGTGTGGCTGTCACATTCAAAACAATTGAGCGAGTAGAACAATGAATCTGCATCAGATTTTGCATTAAGCTTGAACATTCCTCTGCAGAAACTATTCCAGTGATTTAGAAGGCTGCAGCTATGGAAACTGGTGATTGGCAGCTTTGTCATGGCAGCATGCCTGCTTGTGCATCACATCTCATGGAGAGATTTATTGTGAAACATCAAAACACCCAGGTGACTCAGATGCCCTACAGCCCAGATTTGGTGCCCTGTGACTTCTGGCTTTTCCCAAAACTAAAATCACCTTTGAAAGGGAAGAAATAGGATTTGATGAGTTCTCAGTGGAAACACTATAGTCCAGAAGGGAATGGCAAGAAATATTCCAAGTAACAAATACCGAATACCTACAACCAAGACTACTCTATCCACCAAGGCTCTCAATTAAAATGTTAGGTGAAACAAAGTTTCCCAGGCAAAAGAAGGCTGAAGGAATACACCTACATCAAACCAGGACTGCAAGATATGCTACAGGCTCTGCATGAAGAAAAGGAAGAAAAAGAGAAAGAAAGACAGGTACGAAGGAAGCAAAATAGCAATGAATAAGTACCTAGCAATAATAACATTACATGTAAATGGATTAAATGCTCCAGTCAAAAGCCATATAGTAGCTTCATGGATAAGGAATCATGACCTGCAGATATGCTGCCTACAAGAGACCCACCTGAGAACAAAAGACCTATACAGACTGAAAGTGAAGGTTTGTAAAAAAATATTCCAAGGAAATGGACAGGAAAAAAAAAAAACGCTAGGGTAGCAATATTCATATCAGACAAAAGAGACTTCAAAACAAGGGCCATCAAAAAAGACCCGGAGGATAATTCATGATACTCAAGGGAAGAATCAATCAAGAACACAAAATAAACATATATGCATCCAACATAGGACCACACCAATATATAAGGAAAATCTTGGAGGACAGTGCCTTAGATTAAATGGACTTAAATGATACATATAGAACCTTTCATCCCAGAGAAACAAAATACACATTCTTTTCAAATGCATGTGGAACATTTCAAAAGGTAGACTACATGATAGGACACAAAACAAGCCTCAAAAAATTTAAGAAATGTGCCCTGGCTGGTGTAGCTCAGTGGATTGAGTGCAGGCTGTGAACCAGGCATCGCAGGTTCGATTCCCAGTCAGGGCACATGCCTAGGTTGCAGGCCATGGCCCCAAGCAACCACACATTGATGTCTCTCTCTCTCTCTCTCCCCCCCTTCCGTCTCTAAAAAATAAATAAATAAAATCTTTAAAAAAAAATTAAGAAATGTGAAATTATATCAAGCTTTTTATTCAGACCACAAGGGCCTGACTAGAAACCCACCACAAAGAAAAAACTAAAAAATACTCAAATTCATGGAGATAGAATTGCATGCTATTAAACAATGAATGGGTCAAGAATGAGATCAGGAAGAAATCAAAAAGTTTCTGGAAACAAATGAAAATGAACTCATAATAGTTCAAAACTTATGGCATACAGTGAAGGCAGTCCTGAGAGGGATGTTCATAGTGATACAGGCCTACCTAAAAAAAATAGAAATGTTTCAAATAAACAACCTAACCCTACATCTACAAGAACTGGAAGAACAACAACAAAGACAGCTCAGAACAAGTAGAAGAGGGAAATAACCAATCTCAGAGCAGAATTAAATGACGTGGAAACTAAGAGAACAATTCTAAGGATCCATAAATCCAGGAGCTGGTTCTTTGAAAAGATAAAAAAAATCAACAAGCCTGTAATCAGACTCAAGAAAAAAAGAGAGAGTTCCAAAATAAACACAATCAGAAATGGAAGAGGAGAGATTACAACTGTTACCAATAGAAATACAAAGGATTGTAAGAAATTGCTACAAAGAACTATATGCCAAGAAATTTGAACACCTAGGTGACATGGACAAATTTCTAGGAAAATATGATCTTCCAAAACTGAATAAAGCAGAAGCAGAAAGCCTGAACAGACCAATAATAGCTAGTAGCTACTGAAATTGAAACAGTAATCAAAAAATCTCCCAGCACACAAAAGCCCTAGAACAGATGGTTTCATAGAACTTTTAAAACACTCTAGGGGACTTCTGGACAAGATGGAGGTGTAGGTAGACACACTGTGCCTCCTTGCACAACCAAAAGAAGGACAACAACAATTTAAAAACAAAAAACAGCCGGAACTGACAGAAAATCAAACTGTATGGAAGTCTGACAACCAAGGAGTTGAAGAAGACACATTCATGCAGAATGGTAGGAGGGGTGGGGACCAGCAGCCAGGCAGAGAGGACTCGCAGCAAGGCCATGACTGGTGGACCCAGTGAGGTGGCGGATTGTGGAGCAAGGTGCACAAGGCTGCAGCTGGCCAGCAAGGCAGCAGTGGGGGGACCCACAAGGCAGCGGATTGTGGACTGGGCGGTCCCACATTTGTGTGCAGAAACTGGGAGAAACAACTGGGGAGCAGGACAGATTGCCGAACCCAGAGCCCCAGCTTGGGGGAATAAAGCCTCAAACCACTGATTAAAAACACCTGTGGGGGTTGAGGTGGCAGTGGGAGAAGTTCCCAGCCTCACAGGAGAGTTTGTTGGAGAGACCTGCAGGGTCCTAGAATGTACACAAGCCCACCCACATGGGAATGAGCACAAGAAGGACCCAAATTGCTTGTGGGAAGTGGAGGAAGTGACTGAAATCCTGCAGAGAGCAGAGCAAGTGCCATTGTTCCCTCTCGGACACCTGCCCCACATACAACGTCACAACCCAGCTACATGGGTTGCCCCCCTGGGTGAACACCTAAGGCTCTGCCACTTACTATGTAACAGGCACATCAAGACCAAAAAAAAAAAAATGGCCCAAACAAAAGAACAGATCAAAGCTCCAGAAAAAATACAACTAAGCAACGAAGAGATAGTCAACCTATCAGATGCAAAGTTCAAAACACTGGTAATCAGGATGCTCACAGAATTGGTTGAATTTGGTCTCAAATTAGATGAAAAAAAATGATGGCTATGCTAAGTGAAATAATATGCTAAGGGAACCAATAGTGATGAGAAGGAAACTGAGACTCAAATCAATGGTGTGGACCAGAAGAAAGAAAGAAGCATCCAACCAGAAAAGAAGGAAGAAACAAGAATTCAAAAAAAAAAAATGAGAGAGGCTTAGGAACCTCCAGAACATCTTTAGTAAACATTCCAACATCTGAATTATAGGGGTACGAGGAGGAGAAGAGGAAGAGCAACAAGTGGAAAACTTATTTGAACAAATAATAATGGAGAACTTCCCCAATCTGGCAAAGGAAATAGACTTCCAGGAAGCTCAGAGAGCCCCAAAGAAGTTGGATCCAAGGAGGAACACACAAAGGCACATCATGATTACATTACTCAAGATTAAAATGAAGGAGAGAATCCTAGAAGCAGCAAGAGATAAGGGGACAGTTACCTACAAAGGAGTTCCCATCAGACTGTCAGCTGATTTCTCAAAAGAGACCTACAGGCAAGAAGGGGCTGGAAAGAAGCATTTCAAGTCATGAAAGGCAAGGACCTATATCCCAGATTGCTCTATGCAGCAAAGTTTTCATTTAGAATGGAAGGGCAGATAAAGTGTTTCTTAAATAAGGTCAAGTTAAAGGAGTTCATCATCACCAAGCCCTTATTATATGAAATGTTTAAGGGATTTATCTAAGAAAAAGAAGATAAAAAATATGTACTATAAAGTGACAGCAAGCTCACAATCATTAACCACACCTAAAACAAAAACAAGCAAACTAAGCAAACAACTAGAACAGGAACAGAACCACAGAAATGGAGATCACATAGAGGGTTATCAACAGGGGAGTAGGAGGGGGAGAGGGGGAAAAGGTACAGAGAGTAAGTAGCATAGATGGTAGGTAGAAAATAGACAGGGGGAGGGTAAGAATAGTATAGGGAATGTAGAAGCCAAAAAACTTATATGTACGACCCATGGACATGAACTAAAGTGGGGGGCAGGATGTGGGTGGGAGTTGTGTGCAGGGCAGAGGGGAGTGAAGGGGGGAAATGGGACAAGTGTATTAGCATAATCAATAAATTATATTTTAAAACTACTTGAAATAAAAATAAATAAATAAATAAATAAATAAATAACACTAAAGGAATAGCTAACTCCTATCCTCAGATTA